TTGTAAGTACATACTTAAGGCTCTTGATACTGAGCCTGTGCTGTGATTATTCATTATTACATATGTGTACATATGTCTGATGTTGTTTTACTTTTATGATTACATATGTACTTTCATTAGTACTATATGTAATCTTATGTTACATTGGTGTTTACACCTCTTTACTATTACAGTACTTTCTGTAATATGTGTTTGGCACTCTGTGAGGTTGTTGAGCATTCCTCAGGTTTGGTATTACATATGTATTCTTATCAGTACTATATGTAATCTTTGTGTTACACTTGTATTTACATGTGTACTTATTAAAGTACTCTCTGTAACTGGTCTTTGACAGTCTATGGGACTGCTGAGCAGTCCTCAGGGCTGACAGTAACCTGAAAGGTATATAAACCCCCTCTCTCCTGCTCAGGAGTTGTTCCTCTACCTCACCCTAAGGTGAGAACCACCTAAAATAACCCATTAAGCACACTGCTGAGGATACTTGCATAAAGTCATCTGCTCACTAGTGCAAAGGGTTAAAGGTGTAATAAACAAGGGTCATCATCCAGGTTGGTAAGCCTCAGAGTCTTGTAGACCCTTTGTCAGTGAGGACTCACAAAGGTAGAGATAAATAACCTTCAGCAGAAATAAGAGCACCTGCTTAAAGACCAAGAATTGGAGCTAGGCAGTTGTTGTGCTCAACTCTAACTCTCCTTGACAATCAACCTAGTCCAAGAAGGTGTTATATATTGTGTTATTAAATTTGAATTTGCTTCCATTTCTGTTATGTCTTTTTCTCCTTCATATATTTTTCTCTTGACATATTCATTCCTACATCTTTCACACAACTGAACATGATGATACCCAGAATTTCTCTTGTCATTTATTTACCTGCTGAATCAGCTTGTCAGATCCAAAGTCTATTCTTTGTTATTTAGACTTTGGATTCAATAAATGATGCATATGATGTTAGATTACTCATTAATGCTTCTATGGCTGACCCTCAGAAGGACCAGTCCTCCCCAAACCCTCTCATCAGAGGTCATCTAACTGCAGTCTACACCTGAATGTACCAAGGGTAGACTTAATTTCCAGCCAGGCACTTCCAACATATTTTCATTGCATGGAAACTTGCTATGTAACATAGCATTTCTTCATGTCATGCTATGGACCCTTTTTCAAGGTCCCTACCTTGGAAAATAGACCTATTGCATTGTATCTTGGTGTCAGCCCTGAGGACAGCTGAGCAGTCCCATGAGCTGCTATTAAACTGGTTACATTTGTAATCATGACATGCATATAAAGTAAGTGAAGGAATAGGTGTAATACATAATGTAACATATGTATCATAAGTGTTGACAGCCCTGAGGATAACTGAGCAGTCCCATGAGCTTCTAGTAAAATGATTACATGTACATAATCATATGTCATGCACATGTATAGTAATAAAAAGGAATAGATGTACCACATGGTGTAACATATGTAGTACGTGTGTAATATATAATGAACACATGAAGAAACATAGTGTAACATGTCTAGT